TGAAATCAATAAAAAAAATATATTTTAAAAATTAATAGCAAAATAACTAACATTTATTGAGAGTTTTCTCTTGCAAGGTACTGTTTTAAGCACATTATATGTGCATTTTAATCCTTACCTCCCTTTACATCAGGGACTATTAGCAATCCTATTTATAGATGAGAAAATGAAACCCAGAGAAGTTAAGGGACTTTCCCAGGGTCACACAGCCATGAAGTGGCAGAACCTGGGTTGGAACTCAACTAACATGACCTCACAGCCAGTAACCTGAAACCCAGTTCCCATTCCCATCCCTTGCACCTTGGAGATGAACTAATTATTGCTCAACACCTGTTTTCCTTGAACGTAGGTGAAGAGATTTCCTCTCTGAGCAGCAGTACTGGTTCTAGGCCTCCCTCTGCACCCTGGCTCGTGTTTCCCACGTCTTTGCTGCAATGGAGAAAACCCTAATCCTCAGGGCACCAGACCGATTCCTGGATCTTTATTATTTTTTCCTCGCTCATGTTAATGTTGCCCTTCCTAGTCTCCCTTCTGCTTCCTCATCTGCTCTCCTGGCTAGCATTCCAAGGGCAGCAGAACCCTTTAGCTGGGGAGCCCCTGTTGTTGCTCTCCAGCTTCATTTGATCCTATTTTGTGGTTGACTTGGAGAAAGTCCACATCTGTCACCAACGGGCTTTTGAGAAGCTGCAACTCATATCGGATTTGACCTCCACACACACCCAGTTCTGAGGCATCCATTTCCTTTCAGGGCTGGGCGCCTGAACGGGGTTGCTCTCATCGCACATCTCTCTGTCTTGCTCTCCGCCTCTTCCCTCTCCTCCCCCTCAGTAATCCTCGGGGCTCAGGAAGGACCTTAGCATGTTTCTGTTGCTGTGTGGCATATGTTGTGTCCTAATCCTTCCTGTGTTTGCTGTAGGTATGGCGGTTCTCCAAGACAAATTACCCATGTTGTTGAGGAGGTCACCGGGGCTGGCAGCGTGCGGATGGGGGAGGGGAGGGAAGATGTTTGTGGTGATGCACTCCCGGGGCCGCCTCCGCCTCCTGGCCTGTTCAGTGCTTGTCTGCCTGCGAAAGTGCTGGACCCGAGACCCCAAGCTGCGAGCTGACAGGAGGGGAAGGAAGAAGAGAGCTCTGCCTACTGGCCCTGTCATTTGATGAAGGGGAAGCTTGTGTGGGCCAGACCTCGGGCAGCAGATGTTGGTGGAGGACCTGCCAAGACCGTGTTGAGGGTAAGGCAGTGATGCATATGTTACTTGACACGGGGGGATTAGGGAAACCATGAGGAAGCAGGCCTCGTCCCTTCACACCGTGACACCTCGGGGATGTGAGTGATGAGAACAGAGAGGCACAGTCCACGCACACACAGGGAGTGACGGGCCCGAGGGCAGGCAGCCTGAATGATGCCTTTGCTTGCCCCCCTCCCCCACCCACTCCCCCGCTGGGCCGATTGGCAGGCGTGGTGAGGTGCATTGTGCGAGCTGCAGAATCAAAAGCAGGAGTCATTTGATGGAAGCGCTGCCTTCAGGGTTGTCCTCCCTCGTTTTGCCCAGCTAGACTTCCCGCCCACCCCCACAGTGATAAGGGGTGTGATGCGATGCCCGGCCCCTTGCCCTGGACTTTGCAAATGAAGTCACATGGAAGGCGGCCAGAGGGGCCAAGCGTTTGTCTTTGTGGATGGCACCAGGAAGCACCAATGAAAACGAACACTATTCAACGGGCTCCGGTCCTCGGGGAGAGCGGGCAGTGGGACCATTGGAAATCGGAGACTGGGCTAAAGAGAGCCAGGCATCGAGTGGGAAGAAACGGGCCAGTTTCCACGGTTCCTTTCTTTCCCTTTGTGTTAGGTTTTCATGGGACTCTACTTGCTCCTGGTTTGGGGAGGGGGCGGGGGTAGAGGCAGGCAAGAGATGCAAGCTCTCATCTGAATTCCCTACCTGTGCAGTGGGGGTGGGGTGGAGGGAAAGTAGGAGACTGTGGAAGACTGGCCTTGGGAGAAGCATATTTTGGTCATGAAATGGCTTTGGCCATGATTCCAGGGTCTACATTTCTTTCCGCGGCTATTGCACTCCCGGAGGAGGGGGGAGGGCCACCCAGTTGCCCTTCTGGATCCAGTGAGGCCGTGGGAATTCTCTCAGCTGGAGGACCCCTACAAAGAGAGGTCAAGGTTGTGTGTTCCCATCAAATGAAGCACACCTGTAGACCAAGTTTTGGTTGCCTTCCATAACTTCAACCTGTTTCCACCAGAGATTCCAGGAGGGAGAGAGAAAGGAAGGGGCAGGGAAAGGGTCCTAGAAATCAGGAAACGTGGTGAGGGATGGAGAACACGAGAGGGAGCGTTGAGAAAGAATGAGGAGGATGAGGAGAGCCAAGAGGGAGAGCCTGCAGCATTCGACATGAGAGAATGGAAGTTCAAGGAGGTGAGACCTACTGGCTGTGTTCACCTTCACCCACTCCGGGACCTAGAACTTCTTCGCAGGCTGGTGGGAGCCATTTATGGAGGCACTGAATGGAGTCAGGACTCAGACAAGAGTGCACACACTGTGGCTGAAATATCTCCCCTTCTCTTGACTAAGGGTTCCCACTAAGAAGTCCTCAGACTGCACAGCTATTTTCAGAGCCTAAGAAACAGTGTAAGGAAATGGTGCCAGGATGGGGGCAGCTTGATGGACAGCAGGAAGAGCCAGGGGAATTCTTCTCCTGATCTCATTATGGGGAGACTTCTCCTATCAGAGATGCATTCTGGGAGATTGGTCTTGAAGGGATTCTGTAGTCATATGGTTTCCTCCCGGCCGTGCCAACATGAGACCAGAGCAAGGTGTGCTCTGTGAACCCGAGTCATCTCACGGGTGAACCACCCACCGCGCTGAGGTCCAGAAGCTGAGGTGACATCTCTGCATAGGGCTGGGGCCCTGTCCGATGCCCGGTAGAGACCTGATAACATGTTGTCGAATGAATGAATGAATGAAGTAGTTATGTTTTATCTTTTCTCTTCACATGTCTTATCTCCACCCCCACCTGGCTTAGTTTAGGCTTTTTTTCAAATCTGATGAGAGAAGTTAAGAGGGACCATAAGGCAAGGGGTGATTGGGGTGCCCCAGGCCCAGGAGGCGGCCGTCCCCAGCCCAGTGGAAGGCCCTGAGAAGTTTGTAGTTCCGTTGGCTCTTGACTTTGTCCAGAGCTACCGATGGGGACCTTCCTGGCTCAGGGTGAGAGTGGGCAGAGAACTCTCTTCTGATCAGCGAGGTCTGCAGGAGTGGCTGCAGCCTCTGACAGGCAGGTGACATGAACCCCTTGGAGGAATTCTGAGCATCTCTGCATCTTCCTAATGAATTGCAAACTAACCAATCAGAGAACAAAATACCGCCTGGGAAGTGAGGGAGAAGGGAGTGAGAATGTCTCCTCAAGGATTTTCTCCCTGGGACCGAAGTATTTACATTCAGATTTGCATATGATTTGCATATAATTTGTGTCTGGCTACAAAGCCTGTCTGTTGTTCAGATAATGTTTAAGCTAAAGTTGATTTCCAGAATGTCCACCCCTCCCCCTTTCCTTACTCTACCTACTCAGATGTAGGGTGGAAGTGTCAGGGTGTCAGGACTGTCAGGGGACAAGGTGAGTCCTGCCCCCCCGCCCCCCAGCCCCCGGACCAGTCACATGCTCTCTGTCAGCAATGCTGCCAGCTAGTATGCATTTTATTGTCACCACAATTGAAACCAGGACAGGGCTGCTTAGGAGCAATAAAGGGGAGAGTTATCCCAATAATAAAAAAAAAGGTAAAGTCTGGGAAAATTATTGATGATATGAGCTAACATTTATAAAAGTGCCAGACATTGTTTTCGGTGCTTTCTATGTGTTACGTATCTAATCGTCCTAACAGCCCTATGGGGCGAGTACCAGTATTACTTCCATTTTATAGATGAATAAACTGAGGCACACAGAGGGTCAATCACTTGCCTGAGATCATGCAGCTTGAAAAGAGACGGAGCCAGGACTTGAATGGGTCCTCAGACCCAAGCAGGGTGGTTTAACTAGCCTGCTAGGCTGTGTACAGAACAGGGAGGCATAGCTCTGGCCAGCTCTTAACTTTAGGCTGCAGGGACGGCCGCTCTGGCCCTGAGAGGGTTGGGGACAAGATGTGCTGACATCCAGGGGCTCAGGAGATGGAAAGAGATTGTAGAGCCCCCAGCCCTCAGCACCAATGAGCGACAGCCCTTCTGGTGTTTTCTGAAACCACCCATGTTCACTCTTACTTTTGACAGAGAACTCCCTTCAGGGCAAGAACTGGTCTGAGCCTGAGACTGTGAGAAATCCCTGGTCAGTGGCCCGGAGTGAGAGGGTGGCTGCCAGACAATGGCAGGGATGAGTCACCCTCCCTATAGTCAGCACTCCAGGAATCCATGTTATCAGGCTCTGAATGACCACAGGGGGAGTCTCACCACAAAGGGAAAGGAGAGCGAGGCGCCCTTTCCTTTTCAGCCTGGGCCTGCAATGCACGCGTTCCTCTGGTGTTCCCCGCTTGCTGCTTTTTATGTTGTGTATCGGGGTGTTGTCACTTCTGCCGAATGAGAAGGGGCCGGCAGCAGCTGGGAAGTGCAGGGGGTTGTAGCTGAAAACAAACCTGCCAGAGCGGAGCGGGGAACATAATTAATGAAAGATGGTGGTGCGCCGCCGGTTGGCATTGGCTGAGGCCCTGTGAGAAACTTCCCGGAGCCGGCTTGTTGTCGAGGAGAGGGTGTTGTCATCTGAATTAATTTGCATGACAATAGGCCGGCCCCTCATTATGCACAGGGATGCTAATGGGCACCAGCCAGAGTGCATTTCCATGGGAAAAGGATCTTCCTTTGAGGAGGCAACCTCTTCCTCCTCCCCCACTCCACCTCCCCTCCTCCTCACCCCCTTCCCATCCTCTACCTTCTCTCTCCAGCCCCCTACCCCCTCACTCTTCCCTCCTCCCTCCTCTCTTCAACCTCCTCCCTCCTCCCTTTCACCATCCTCCTGCCTCTGCACCCTCTTCCTTTGTCCCCCTCCTCCCCCTGTTCCGCCCTCTTTTCCTCCTGCCCTCTGCCTCTTGGTCGCAGTGGAGAGCGCCAGTCCTCACCTTGAGGAGGAAAGGGCGCTGTGAGGGGAAGGAACACGCTCAGAAGAAGGTGTGATGTGTTGTGTATAATTGAAAACAAATGGGCCCCCAGTCCTGCCAGCCTTGTGGTAATGGGGTGTTGACACTGGGGAGAAGCCCAGTGGGAGCAGTAGGACCCCAGACACCGAGGTGCAGGGTGGGAGTGGGGACGGGGCGTTGGCATGGATGTTGCCTCTCTGGGAGCGAGCTGTTCTCTTGTAGCTTTGCCATCCGCGCTCCCTGGAAGAAGAGCTTCCCAGTCAGCCCCACGTAGCCCTGCTCAGCCTGGCTGCCCTCACTCACCCGGGAGGCTGCAGCGTTCAAGGGGAGGGTTTGGAGCCACATCATCTGGGTTCAAATCCCATCTCTGCCGTGTACCAGCCACACCAGCCCTCGGACTTTGGCTCTGTGACTTAACTCTGTGTTGCCCAGAGTCCTCCCGGGTAAATCTGGGGCCCAGTGCCTCCCTGGAGGCTAAGTGCTTAGAAGCCACCTGGCAGCTGCTAAATGGGAAAGGAGACCTTTCCACGCAGTGGTCTCCGTGTCCCTTTATAACATAAGCCAGGGGGCCTTTTAGACGGTCAGGTGACCGATGGTCCTGACTGTCCCACCCCCACCCACCAGGGCTGTCCCCCGCGCTACCACCACGGAGGGCGCGGCTCGGTGGGACTGGCCGGCTCACCATCAGCGTGCCCTTGGGAAGGAACTGTCCCTGATTTGTTACATTGTATTCCCTAGGTCAGCGGAGGAGCCGGACTCATTGCACCGTGGTGGCTGCAAGTTCCGGAAAGCTTATCTCAACGTACCTCCCGGGACGGAGTGCTCGCCTTCCCCGGAACGAGATTCCATAGCCGGAGTGGAGTGACTGCGTCTAAAGCTAATCCTGAGCGCTTCGCTTTGCACCGCAGTGTCCCCGAGGAGGAGACAGGCCGCCTCGCTGGCATGGAGAATGAGTGGTGGGCCCTTCGGCTGCGTTTCTCACCCCTTCTGACGTGAAGACACAGAGAGAAGACCGCCTTCCACAGCCCAGGAATTGGCTGTCACCACACCACATGCAGAATCTGCAGGACCCTTGGTCTCGGACGTCCCAGCCCCCAGAACTATGAGAAATAAACTCTTGCTCTTTCTAAGCCACCCAGTGTATGGTATTTTGTTATATCAGCCCAAACGGAGTAAGACAGTGTCCATCAGCAACCCCAGTCCTGCCAGGGGGAATCGGATCCAAGGATAGGGGCCCGGTGGGCAAGAACCCTGAAGTTTCCTATCGCCCCAATTACAGTCACACACACACACACACACACACACACACACACACACACACAACTGGTAGGCACTGAGTTGCAAATTTGAATGAAATATCTTCTTCGAAGGTTCCCTCTGAGGTAAGAAAACGGATTATGTGATTGTTGCAATGCCGTGCGGTAAATGCTAGAAAGGAGGTGATTCAAGGTGCTCTGGGCATAGAGAAGGTTGACCCAACTGAGCCAACTGAGCGGGGAAGGCTTCCGGAGGAGGTGACTCACAGGGAGGATGAGGAGGAGTTACCCAGGTGAAAGGGCAAGAGATCAGCAATGAGAACCCATTCAGGTACAGCCACAGCAGTGAGAGGCAGCAAGGAGTGACCTAAGAGAGCAGAGCGAGGCGAGGTGAGAGGGCAGCTGCTCAGAGTGGAGAGAGGCCGGGTAGGAAGAGCTTTCCAGCTGGTCAAAGAGATTAGGGTACTCCCCGCCCCGCCCCCCCGCCCGCCCCCGTAAACACGGGGCACTTTGGAAATGCTCTCCCATAGAAGACCAGTACCATCAGCATCATTTCTAAATGGTGAGTCCTTAGGCGAGAGAACTACTCCAAGTTCTAATTGTCATAACAGGGGATGGCTTCATGAAGGAGGTAACACTTGAGATGAGCAGTGAAATCCAGGTAGGATCTGAACACGCAGAGACGGGGATAAGGTATTCCAGATGGAGGGAGAAATATAAGCAAAAAAACAGGAAAACAAACACGCCCCCCCCCAAGAGATTTGGGTAAAAGAAAGA